TCGAGCCCCCCCCCCCCCCCCTTTCCCCCCAGACTTATTTTGTGATGCATGAGCTTCTTCCAAGTGCTGCCTTTGCAAAAGGAGCGAGAAGCGCTGGGGGAAGAGAGTAGTTCCATAAGGATGACAACGAACAGCACTCTGGCAGGCAGTGATTGATGACAAATTACCATATTTTCTCATATACCCCCACCCCCCAAGTGAGATCCACAGCTTTGTTTTTAGGAAGGCTGAATGAAGGGGGATAAAATGATATTGGTAGTTATGGATACTTAGAGCAGGGGCAGAGCCTTATCTTTAGCTCACCCTCTCTTTCCTGTTCAGACAACAGCTATAGTTTTGACCCTTTCATAGTTTTATTGGGTGCTCAGCCAAACACTGAAACCCTAGCTGCTGCTGAAGATGGGACTCCACAGGTAGACTGAGTGTTTTGAAAAGAGGTAAAAACAGCCTGCAGGGCTGTGAAATAGCAGGAGAGAGACCAGGAGGAGCTAAATTGTAAATTGTCCAGAGCAATTGCCGAAGAGGCTAGCTTGATTAGTAGAACATCAAGGCTATCGGAAAGGAGAGTGGGTCGTTAACTCTTGTTGAGTGGTGAGCGATTGGCAGGAACCAAGCAGAGTCTAAGAAGCTGTGAAGTCAATTGACTCAATCCTGCCTGAATAGAAATGCCACAGCTGCTATTGTGGGCAGAAAGTTGCCTTCCCCATTTCAGACACCCCCGCTCCCCCGGCCAATTTTTGAGAGGCTGATTCTTTTTGGCAGGGGAAGCGCATATGCTATCTGAGTAAATATGGTCATTTATTTTGGCATGTGGACACACGCCATACTTCCCATGGGGGGGGGGCCCACGATGGGGGACATGGGAGAAGTGTAGCTCCGCATGGCCTGGGCTTTGCTCTGTTCATAAGTAGAGAGCACCTGGCCAGCTAGTCAAGCCAGCCACTCTGTGTAGTTAAAGGACCTGGATATCGCAGCTGGCATGAGTCAAGGGACCTATTTTGCTGCCTCTCTGAAGCAAGGGAGCTAGGACCAGCCTCTGCTATGCCCACAGAGATTTGGGGGCTGAGCACCTCCATAGCCCAACACTGATGCAGTCTGAAGGGGTCAAAAAGCAGAATGCAACGTGAAAGCCACGCATGCTGCATCCCAGATGCCACGGGGTTCCCCAGATCACCCCCAGAGCAAAGATCGTGGCAAAGAGAAGAGTCGGACCCTTTTCTTCTGTACCTGGCTCCCATTCATCTGCTCATGAACAGCACGGAGGAGCAGAGCGGGAGATGCTGCTTTCTCTGCCACTTCTTCTGCCCCCGGTGTGGGGAAGCAGAGGAGATTTGCTGGGGATCGGAGCAGCTCCTGCTCCACACAGCAAAGCTGAAGCCCGTAGAGCTCTCCATGGGAGCTGAACTGCTCCATGGGTCGCTAGCGACCCCTTGCTTGGACTTGTTGCAGTGAGAAGCCCAGGGGGGCGGTGGTGCTGGGAGAGACCTGGGGAGGTGATGAGACAGAGAGGAGGCAGGAGGGGGCCCTGGGCTCCTTCCCCTCTCTCTTTGTATAACTCATCTCTTCCCTCACCATACTCACTGCCTAGGGAGGCCTTTTAGAAGTAAAGGGGTGGGAAAGAGGAGAAGGATTCGTGTTTCAGCAGCACATGGAAGCTCCCTGGCCAAGGCTTCTGCTGGTGAAAGACCACCAAACTCCACCGGTTTCCATGGCATGACATCAGCAGGGGCCCGTGGCCCCTCTATCAAGTGCAAATCGTCCTGTTTCCATGCTCCGTGAAAAGCAGTGATGGAGGGAGGTTGCACCTGCCTGGGATGGTCTAAGGGCACCTCGTTCCCTTTTCCCTGGGCATGGATTTGGCCCTCCCTGATGCTGGGATAAATCTGGATTAGCTCCAGAATTGCACCAGGGTCCGGCTGGAATAAAGGGATAAACCACAAAGCTTGCCTCCCCTTCCCGCAGCGCGATCTCTGCAGCAGCTTGGACTAGTGGTCAGAGGGAGAGGCGGGATGCCTGGATTCTCCGCAGCCGCGTGGGCTAGCAATGGAAGGACGGAGCAGTGGCCGTACCCGCAGGGCAAACGGGGGGTTTTCTACATTGACCTGCAGTGGGGGGAAGGGGGAAGAGACACAAGGATTGATAACCAGAACAAAGACTTCTCCCGTCTCCACCTCGGACGGCTTGTGGCGGGGCCGGGACCCCAGAGACGAGCATCGGGCAGAGCTCAGCCCAGCGTCGGGCCCAGCTCTTGGCTCAGTCCTCCTTGCGCTCCAAGGCGGCGGTGCTGTGGATCCCACCTCCCCCCATGGAGAAGGGCAGCGCGGAGAACAAGGACTCGGTGGCTGCAAAGACGCTCCCCGCCACCCCAGAGAGCTGCGCCAAGCCGGCGGCTCCGGCCGCGTTCCCAAAGGGCGCCACCATGTTGAGGCGCTGGAGGTGATGGTACATGAGTTCCACTGAGGCCTTGGACTCGGCCGCCCCAAGGTCCATGAAGTTGAGGGCGTGGGCAGCAGGCAGCACGTGGCCCGGCACGGCCAGCGCCACGTCGGCTGGGGCGTAGCGGATGGTGCTGGTGGCATACAGGCTCTGGGAGCCGGCCGGGCCGGCGCCGTGCCCGCCGAGCGGAGGAGCCACCAGTGGCAGCACCACGTTGCCTGCGTGGTACCGCGGCAGCGCCTCTATCTCGCCAGGGTAGGAGGGTGTGGATGCGGCCCGATCCTCGCAGGGCGAGCCCGAGAGAGGCGGTGACAGTGTGTCGGCCGAGGGGGTGGGCAGCACGGCCCGGGGGGAGGAGCCGAAGGCTGCTTTGGCCACGCCCCCGCTGCTGTCCATCTCCGGCGGGGTGAGCACCGCATCTGGGATGGAGACGTACAGGTGAGCCGTGGGCGGCTTCTCCAGGCCCGGCGCTTTGCTCGCGGCATAGGGGACCCCCTCTGCCAGGGTGTCCTGGGCCAGAGGATAGGTCCAAGGGGGTCCCTTGCTATACTTGGGGGCCTGGGCGCGCTCCGTCTTCACCCCAGAGCCAGGGGATCTGCTGCGCTGCTGCGTCTGGATCACGGAGGTGAACTCGGAGGTGCTGAGCCGGCCCTGCGCGCCCGCCAGAGACCCAGCCGCCTTCCTGGCACCTGCCCGAGCCCCAGGCCGAGCCTCCTCATCGCTCCCACTCTCGGACTCCTCCGTGCTAAGCAGCGAAGCCGCCTCCACCTCCCGCGAGGGGCTCTCGGGTTGGAACTCCAGCTTGATCCGTTTGCTGCGGGGTCCCCGGCACCTGCTCTCCCCGTCGCTCAGCCCAGCCTCCCCGGACGACTCTTCGTCCTTGTAGCCCGGCTCCAGGCTGCTGGCCGGGGTCTCCTGCACAGAACGGCGAGCTCCGTCGTCCCCCACGCTCTTACCCGAGGTCCCGACCTGTTTGAACAGGTAGTGCTTCCCCTGCTTGCTGTCTGAGCCCCGCTCGCTTTCTGGAAGGCAGAGGAGAAGCGGGGGGTTAGCAGCAGCGATTGGAAGAGTTGGTCTGTTAGTTTTCTGCAGGCAAGGAATAAGTGGAAGGAGAGGCCTGGTGTCTATAATGAGGAGGGGGCCTCGCATCTAACGAGAGGGGCCTGGTGATTAATGGCGGGAGGACGGTGCCTAACAACAGGGACCTGGAGTTTAACAAGGGGCTTCTTAGTCTAATGTGAGGGAGGTCCTAGCATCTAAGGGGGTGGGTAGTGACTGATAAGAGGCTACTGGAGTCTAATGCGGGGGCTCCTGGCATCTAACGAGGGGGATGTAGCATCAAACAAGGGGCCCCTGGAGTCTTAACGGGGAGGTCCTGGTGTCTAACAAGGGCATCCTTGCACCTGGTGGGGTTGAGAACCACTGGTTTAATGATGCATGGATCCGGTGGACCACAGGGAGGCTCATGATCATGACCCCAGGGCAAGTGAGGTGGGGGGTTGATGGCAACAGGGAGCCGGATTGATGTGGGAGGGTCCGTGCCCTGCTTCTGGGCAAAGTGGAGAGAGGCAGTGGAGAGTTCCCAGACCCTGTACCAGGGTGGACACTGGCTGGAAAGTCTGGCGGGGACTCGGCTGTGGACCCTGGGATTCAACCAAGCACAGGACCCTATAGAAATGGGAGCGGAGCTGGGGCTGACTGGTGGGTGGGATGCCTGGGCTCACCTGGTGCTTGAACCTTGGGGTTGGATCTGCGGCTGGTTGGGAGTACAAGGACCCCAGCCCCATACCCCCTCCCTCCAGAGCACTAGGGAGCAGGGCACGGGGCTCACCTGGGAACTCGGGTTCCAGGTCGCAGGCATCGGCCTCTGGTGCCGGAGCCGCTGGTAACTGGAAGATGTCCAGCGCTGTGTTCTTGCCCTCGGGCTTGCTGAAAGGCAACACAAGGAAAAGGGATGAAAAGGACAGTCCCCAGCAGGGTCTCTGCGGCAGTGTGGGCTAGTAGTGAGAGCCAGGGTGCCTGGGCTCTCTGCAGCAGGACGGGCTAATGATCAACGAGAACCAGGACACCCGAGTCCTAATCCCAGCTGTGCAAGGGGAGGTGGGGTTCTGGCTCTAAAACATGGGAATTGCAGTTTGTGGGGGGGTATCCAGCACTGGGACGATGACAGAGATGATGAAGGCATTTCTGGGCCTGCTCCAAAGTAGCCCCAGCGTGGGATAGGAACCAGCTACAAGGTTGCACGTGTCCAAGCACTAACTTTGTAGCTGGACAGCCATTTTTATGGCTTGATAATCACTTTGCACATGTGGTCAGCCTGCATTTCTTGTGTGATTATCCAATTAATTGCTTGATAATTACTTTGCAAGTGTGGCTGGTCTACATTTATTGCGCGATTGACTTGGCTAGAGGGTCATGCCCCTTGCACTTAGGGTCCCCCTCATGCTGCATTTGGGGTCAGGAAGGAACTGACCCCCCCTCCCCAGTCAGACTGGTACGGGCTTGGGTGAGGAGATGGGTTGCCTGCCTCTGTAGCAGGGGGGCACGGCTTCTACCTGGGATTTTTGGAGTGCATTTATCTCACCCCCCCCCCCCCCCCCCACCCTCCCACCCCCTCCTGCCCTGCCGAAGAGGAACGCCAACTCGCCGCGGAGCTGACACAAGCACCCACCTGCAGCCACCAGGACGGCTAGCGCCTCATTGTCCGGGAACAAGCAGGGACAGATTGGAAATCGCAAGCTCGTGCTTTTGGGGAAGGTGGGGGGGCCCACCCGCCAGCTTCGGGCCGTCATTGTTCACGGCCAGGCAGCGCTGGAGCCGATTCAAAGGAGACGTGTCCACCCCCCAGCAGACAGCCCGGGGGAGAGTGGGGAAGGGGGATACACACAGGGCCACATTTCTCCAGGGCGGGACGTCTTGGCTGCCTTTGCTGGCCTGACCTGGGAGGTTTCAGGGCGGCGTGGGGGGAATCGCAGCCTTCAACCCCCCCAACATTGGCTCAGATCATGATATATCCCAGCACTCCTGTGACGTCAGCATTATCACCCCCTTCTTTCAGAGGGAGGCCAAGGGATTTCGAAGCCCCGTTACCCACTAAAGGACCTGCAAACCACTGGCTCCGTAGTGGATAACCCCCAAGCAGTCTAGCTCCAGTATGCTCCAACCACTAGGCCACCCTACCTGCTAGGGATTAAAACTAAACCGGCTCCTTTTCCAGGCTGGCAGGCTCCCCGTGTCCCTCCCCAAAGCACTAGTGGTCAGTTCCTTCTCTAGATCAGTGGCCCCTGCCACACGTTACACATATTACACATTAATGGGTGAACTGCGCAATAAATGCAGACCAGGCCCATGCTAAGTGATTATCAGTGATCACACAATTACCTTGTTAATTGTGCAATAAATGTAGGCTGGTCATACTTGCAAATTAATCACAATTAATTGGTTAATTATGCAATAAATGTAGACCAGGCATATGTAAAGTAATTATCATGCAATTAATTGGTTAGTTACACAATAAATGCATACCAGGCCCATGCTAAATAATCACACTATTAACTGGTGGATCGCAAAATAAATGCAGACTGGTTGCACATGCAAAGTAATTATCAAGCAATTAATTGGTTAATTGCGCGATAAATGTAGACCAGGCCCGTGCAAAGTAGCTGTCAAGCAATTAATGGGGGAATCGCGCAATAAATGTAGACCAGGCCCATGGATCGTAATCGTCACACAATTAACGGGTGAATCACATGATAAATTCAGGCCAACTGCACGTGCAAAGTGATTATCACGTCACAAAAATGGCTGTCCAGCTACAAAATTAGTGCTTGAAAATGTCTAACACCTTTACAGGTGGGTTCTATCCAGCTTGAATTTGAACGTGTTGCAGGGCTCAGTGGGTCCCTGTTCCCATAGCCTAATCCTTGGATCACATGCCCCTCCCAGTGCTGTGGAGCCCAGGCGTCCAGAGCCCCAGCTTCCCCTCCAACAGACCCCCACCCCTTCCCTTGCCCCCGCTTTATCTTCAGCATGGTTCAGGCACATGAATGCTGTTCCCAAGATGCATCTGTTGCTGGGGTGGGTCACCCCTCTCCATCCCTGTCCCCATCCGTCATGTCCTGCTTCCCAGCAGAAAAAGGCCGGGGGTGGGGCAGGGGGTGTTGGGGGCAGGGAGGGGAAGGGGGTGTGGGGAAAAAAAAAAAGTA